AAAACAAAGAAAAGCGAGACTCCAAAGCAGTAAGGTGACTTGCCAAAGGTCATTAATTAAGGACAGGAACTACAGTCCAGACTCATCCTATTGCTATTGCTCTAGCACTACTTTATTCTGCGTAAACCAACCATCTTATCAAATTACTAAAACAGGCAGTTTAACCAAAATTGTTAAAAAGCTCTAGTGCCATTTATTTGTACTGAATATTTTATGGCTCCAATTTTAACCTACCATTAAATAAACCAACCCTCTATAGAAACTAGTTTGTCCTCATTCCACTAACATTTCATAGATTTAATGTCTTACCAGTTGTCACAAAGTCGAGTATCCTGGTCATCTAGAAATTCAGCCATCTTTAGCTCTTCCTGAAAACCACAAAGGAAGACATGAACTTTCTCTTTCATTTCTGCTTTAAAGATGACATGCAAAAAACAAAAAACTAGTATAAAGAAAATGTCACCCAAACCTGTGTGTTATTTTATTCAAGAAATCCACCCTTGGGATTTTCTTATTTTAAAATTTTCAATTTAAAATAATTTTATTAGATGAGAGACTTTTAAAAAATAAAAATAATAAAATACTTTTACTAGGCTGGATACTGTGACTCATGCCTGCAATCTCAGTATTTTGAGAGGCCGAGGCGGGCAGATCACTTGAGCCCAGGAGTTCAAGACCAACCTGGCCACAATATGGGGAAACTCCATCTATACAAAAAAAAATTATCCAGGGATGGTGGTGCCTGTATTCCCAGCTACTGGGGAGGCTGAGGCAGGAGGAATGCTCAGGAAGAATGCTTGAGCCCGGGAGTTCAAGGCTGCAGTGAGCCATGATCATGCCACTGCACTCCAGCCTGGGCAACAGAGTGAAACCCTATCTCAAAAATAACAATAATAATGGGCAGACGCAATAATAATAATAATAACATCCCAGTCGGGCACAGTGGCTCACACTTGTAATCCCAACACTTTGGGAGGCCGAGGTGGGCGGATCACGAGGTCAGAAGATCAAGACTATCCTGTCCAACATGGTAAAACCCCGTCCCTATTAAAAATACAAAAATTAGCTGGGCATGGTGGCATGTGCCTGTAGTCACAGCTACTCAGGAGGCTGAGGGAGGAGAATCGCTTGAACTAGAGAACTGGAAGTTGCAGTGAGCCGAGGTCGTACCACTACACTCCAGCCTTGAGACAAAGTGAGGCTCCATCTCAAAAATAAATAAAAATAAATAAAATAACATCCCTTACAGACTTCATCCAATAACCCTAAAACCATCATAAGTAACAATAGTAAAATTCTCAGATACAGGAAATAACACTAATACAATACTAGTAACTAATTTATAAAATTTATTCAAATTTCACCAATGAGCCGGGCACAGTGGCTCATGCCTGTAATCCCAGAGCTTTGGGAGGTGAGCTGTGAGGATCGCTTGAACCCAGGAGTTTAAGATCAGCCTGGGCAACATGGTAAAACCCCTTCTCTACAAACAATTTAAAAATTAGCCAGACGTGGTGGCACATATTTGTGGTCCCAGCTACTCAGAAGGCTAAAATGGGAAGATCACTTGAGCCTAGGAGGTCATGGCTGCAGTGAGCAGTGATTGTACCACTGCACTCTAGCCTGGTTGACAGAGTAAGACCCTGTCTTAAAAAAAAAAAAAGAAAAAATCACCATCCCACCCTTTTTCTGGTTCTGTATTCAATCTAGGATCACACATTGCATTTAGCTGTTACTTGTACTTAATCTCCTTTGATCTGGGAGAGTTCTTCAATATTTTCTTCTCTTTCATGACCTTGTTAAGCATACTACTTCTTTTTTTTTTTTTTTTTTTTTTTGAGACGGAGTCTTGCTCTGTTGCCCAGGCTGGAGTGCAGTGGTGCAACCTAGGCTCACTGCAACATCCACCTCAGCCTCCCAAGTAGCTGGGACCACAAGTGTACACCACCATGCCCAGCTAATTTCTTTATTTTAGTAGAGACGGGGTTTCACTATATTGGCCAGGCTGGTCTCAAACTCCTGACCTCAGATGATCCACCCGCCTCATACTCCCAAAGTGCTAGGATTACAGGCGTGAGTCACCATGCCCAGCCAACTAGTTATTTTATATAATGTCCTTCAATTTGGGTTTGTCTGATATCATGATTAAATTCAAGTTATACAATTTTAGCAAGACCACCATAGAAATCATGTTGTGCTGGTGAAATGCCATCTGTACTAAAAATACAAAAATTAGCTGTGCTTGGTGGTGCACGCCTATAATCCCAGCTACTTGGGAGGCTGAGGCAGGAAAATCACTTCAACCTGGGAGGCTGAGGCCCAGCGCAATGGCTCACGCCTGTAACCCCAGCGCTTTGGGAGGCCAAGGCAGGAAGATCACGAGGTCAAGAGATTGCAACTATCCTGGCCAACATAGTGAAACCATGTCTCTACTAAAATACAAAAATTAGCTGGGCATGGTGGTGTGCGCCTATAGTCCCAGCTACTCAGGAGGCTGAGGCAGGAGAATTGCTTGAACCTGGGAGGCGGAGGTTGCAGTGAGCCAAGATCACGCCACTGCACTCCAGCCTGGCGCCTGGAGAAAGGGCAAGATTGTCTGAAAAAACAAACAAACAAACAAACAAACACCTGGGAAGCGAAGGTTGCAGTGAGCCAAGATCGTGTCACTGCACTCCAGCCTGGTGACAGAGCAAGACTCTGTCTCAAAAAAGAAATCATGTTGTGCTCATCTCAGTGCCTTGTATCAGAAGATACATGATGTCAACAGTCTTATTTTACTATTGATGTAAACTCTGATCACATAGTTGATATGGTGTCTGCCAAGTTTCTTCACTATGAAGTTTCTCCTCTTTTTTTTTTTTTTTTTTTTTGGAGACAGAGTTTCACTCATGTTGCCCAGGCTGGAGTGCAATGGCATGATCTCAGCTCACCGCAACCTCCGCCTCCTGGGTTCAGGCAATTCTCCTGCCTCAGCCTCCTGAGTAGCTGGGATTACAGGCACGCACCACCATGCCCAGCTAATGTTTTGTATTTTTAGTAGAGACGGGGTTTCACCATGTTGACCAGGATGGTCTCGATCTCTTGACCTCGTGATCCACCCGCCTCGGCCTCCCAAAGTGCTGGGATTACAGGCTTGAGCCACCGCGCCCGGCCTCTCCTCTTTTTTAAACAAGATGTCAATGCAGAAAGCAAAGCACTGGCAACTTTACTACCATTGTTTAGATTATTCCTTTTCATGATACAAAAATGGTCTTAAATCCTGCCCCCAATAGGGTTCTTTAATGGTTTTGGCATTAAGCCAACTACTACTTTTCAAAACATGTAGTCATTTGTTCAACATGTTTAAGACAATACTGTGTCTGTAATCCCAGCACTTTGGGAGGTCAAGGCAGGTGGACCACTTGAGGTCAGGAGTTCAAGACCAGCCTAGGCAACAAGGTGAAACCCAGTCTCTACTAAAAATACAAAAATTAGCGGGGTGTGGTGGCAGGCACCTGTAAACCCAGCTACTCAGGAGGCTGAGGCAGAAGAACTGCTTGAATCCAGGAGGTGAAGGTTGCAGTGAGCTGGGATTGGGCCACTGCACTCCAGCCTGAGCAACAGAGTGAGACTCTGTCTCAAAAAAATAAAAATAAAAAAAAGGACAATACTGTGGACCACGTGCAGTGTCTCACACCTATAATCCCAGCACTCTGGAAGGCTGGGTTGGGTGGATCACTTGAGCTCAGGAATTCAAGGCCAGCCAGGAAACATAGTAAGGCCCTATCTCTACAAAAAGTAAGCAAAAAAGTAGGTAGGTGTGGTGGCACATGCCTGTAATCTCAGCTACTTGGGAGGCTGAAGTGGGAGGTAGGAGGTCAAGGCAGTCCCAGACCATATTGTGTGCCATTGTGCCCTGACACTAAGAATACTTTATAAACTAAGGAAACATCATGTCTGAAAAAGCAATTTAGTGGTAGAGAAAAACAATAAGCAAAAAAATACATACAAAATACAAAAAACTACAAATAAATGGGTGCAGTAGAGGCAAATCTTCTCTAGTTAAGAGTGGTCAGGGAAGAACTTTCTGGAGAGATGACATTTAAACTAAGAACTGAAGTACAAGAGCCAACCATGAAAAGACAAAGACAGAGGATGGGAATGGGGGAAAATCCATCCAGGCGGTGGGAAGGGCAAAACGCCTAAAAGCAATGAAAGAGAAAGTAAAGGTAGATCTGGAAGGGCATAATAAAAAAGGGGAATGACTCAAGGAGGTCTTTTCATATAAAACAGAAAGAATATTGGATTAGATCCCAAGCTCAATAGTAAATCACTAAAGGCCTTTAAACTAGGGAATGACATGATTCAAGATAACCACTCTGGGCCAGGTGCGCAGCTCAAGCCTGTAATCCCAGCACTTTGGGACAGCGAGGTGGGCGGATCACTGGAGGTCAGGAGTTCGAGATCAGCCTGGCCAACATGGTGAAACCAAGTCTCTGCTAAAAATACAAAAATCAGCCAGTGAGGGGCGCCTGTAATCCCAGCTACTCAGGAGGCTGAGGCAGGAGAATCACTTGAACCCGGGAGGCGGAGGTTGCAGTCATCGGAGATCTCACCACTGCACTCCAGCCTGAACAACAGGAGACTCCATATCCCAAAAAAAAAAAAAAAAGATATTCACTCTAATATGAAATTGCAACTAGGGATGGCTGGCCTAGATACCTTTTCCAGGGCTGTCCGACTGATTTCAGGTGTGTTCTATTCCAGCCCACTAAGTGGCCAACTCTAAGGCGAGAGCTCAGACGTGGCAGGTGCTCTCTTTTCCAGCTGCAAGGAGACTGGGGGTGACCTGTAGGGTCCCCCTCTGGGGGTCAAGTTCTGGCTGGTTCTGCCAGAGTTAACCTCCCTGGGCCTCGGATTCTTCAGGCAGAGGACTGACAATACATCAAGGACTCAAGAAAATGGGCGAATGCATGAAAGAGTTGAGGCACAGAAAAGTCTTCAAGCTGATAAGGAGACCGCTGGGGGTCGGATAGATGTCTCCGGTCTGCAGAGGGGACCGTCCCTCTGCCAGAGGCGGCGGAGCTTCCACTGCTGGGTCTAGACCCCCCAAGGCAGTTTCCAATCGCCCCCTTCCCCAGCAACGTCGGTGATGGGGAGTGAAGACGTAAGCGGCTTCTCAAATAACAGCAATTGCCAAACGCTTACCGGGACAATCTTTTAATCCCGACAACAATACTATGAAGTGAAAGTCTTGATCCCCACTTCAGAGGCTACGAAAGCGGAAGGCCACCTGAGTTTCCCGCAGCACCAGCGGGTCGGAGTGGGAGCTCGGACTCGGATCCTTCGGCCTCGAGGCCGCACTAGGCCACTCCCGACCCCCCACGCCGGCAGCTCGAGGCTCGGGCTCTAGGCCCAGGCCGGCCCCGAGTCCAGCTCCACCCGGGGCGCGGTGGCCACAGCAGCGCTGCGGACGACGCCCGTTTCCCAGTTCCCGGGCTAGCCTAGGCCGCGAAGGGGGCGGCGTCACTGGGGGCCGTCGAGGCCCCGGTTTCCTGAGGAGAAAGCGCGGCCTTCTCCAGGTGCCTGAGACGCCGCGGCGCCGGCATCTTCTCACAGCCACAACCCCGGGCCCGGAGACCCCTCGCCCACACACCCTCCCTTGGGATGCCGGACCCTTCCTGAACTGGAGGCCACAGGGGCTCTCCAGCCGTATGCCGCCGCTACACCTCACCAGGGACAAGAGGAGAAACGCTGACTCGCTAGCTGCTGACACCAAGCCTCCTCTGTCAGCCCCCGCACCGAACAACGGCCCCCAGAGCTGCCTCACCACTTCCGCCCATCGCGGAGGAGCGCGCCGATTGGCCAGGGGCGGCTCCGGCTGTCGTTCCATTGGATAACACCATTGTCGCTCCCAGGGCCCCGCCTTCTGCGCGTCAATTGGCCCCCCAGAGGCCCAGGGGGCGTGTCCCTGAAAGCCCTGGCCCCTGCACATCTGGAACCTTGAGGCTGGGAGCTGAGCTGTGAGCCTGTTGCTGAGCTTGACAACTGTCCCCGACACAGGCTAATAATATTTGTATGAATAATTCTGTGCAAACATTACTAATAAGACTAATATATTGAGATAATTAATGGCATTTGTTCTCTTGTCATGAGCTATTAATACTTATTAGTCATTCTTGTTGCTATCATAATGCCCTTGTGTAAGACTTCTCCAGGGCTTGTGACCATATATGAGCACTTTGCTTTTTTGCAGTGGAAGAATGAGAGTCTGAAATGCAGGTTTGAAAGCTAGTTTCTCCACTTGCTGCCTGAATGAATTCCCTGAGCTTCTCTTACCTCAGGTACAATAAAGGAGAAAATAGTTATATAAGTATAACCAAGCACGTATTATAAACAATACAGCAATTTAAAATTATGATTCTGCCGGGTGTGGTGGCTCATGCCTGTAATCCAAGCACTTTGGAGGCCAGGGGGGGCAGATCACCAGAGGTCGGGAGTTCAAGACCAGCTTGACCAACATGGTGAAACCCCATCTTTAAAAAAAAAAAAAATTAATAAAAAAAATTCTGATTCCATTGCTGATTATAATTGCAAAATGTGGAGGCCAAGGCGGGTGACTCTCTTGAGCTAAGGAATTAGAGACCAGCCTGGGCAATACGGTGAAGCCTCATAGCCACAAAAAATACAAAAATTAGTCAGGCGTGGTGGTGCACACCTGTAGTTCCACCTACTTGGGTGGCTGAGGTGGAAAGATCCCTTGAGCCCAGGAAGCAGAGGCTTCAAGCCCTGATCATGCCACTGCACTCCAGCCTGGGGGACAGAGCAAGACCCTGTCTCAAAAATAAATTAATATCATATCATATCATGACAAAGTGTTCATGAGACAGTACTAAGCAAGAAAAGCATCTAACAGGCCAGGTACAGTGGCTCAGGCCTGTAATCCCAACACTTTGGGAGGCCAAGGTGGGTAGATCACCTGAGGTCAGGAGTTTGAGACCAGCCTGGCCAACATGGTGAAACCCATCTCTACTAAAAATACAAAAAGTGGCTGGGAGTGGTGGTGGGCACCTATAATCCCAGCTACTTGGGAGGCTGAAGCAGGAGAATCTCTTGAACACAGGAGGTGGAGGTTTCAGTGAGCCGAAATCAAGCCACTGCACTCCAGCCTGGGTCAAAAGATCAAAACTCCATCTCAAAATAAAAACATCTAAAAAAAAAAAAAAAAAAGCATCTAACAAAGCAATATTTATAACAAAATAAGATACTGAGTTTATGCAGTACAATATTTATGATTCCAACATATGAAGTTCAAAAACAGGGAAACTAACCTAAAGTGAGAGAAGTAAGTAACTAGTTCCATTCAGAGGGTATAGACTGCAAGGAGATATGAGAAAGATTTTCTAGAAATGTTTATATCTTGATCTACAAAGTAACACAGATGTATTCATTAGTAAATAGTTATTAATCTACACACGTCTTAAGCACATACATTGTATGTTACCTTTTAATAACAAAATTTACTGGAGTTCAAAAGAAAGCACAATCATTAAAGATTAAAAAAAATCAGAAAAAATGTGTATTAATATGAATTAAGTATATTAATGTATTAAGTACATATACTAAAAAAAAAACCATACAGTGTGTCCTTTTATGAATAATGTGTTTTAACTCAGCATAGTGTTTTTGAGGTTCATCTATGCTGTTGATCATATCAAGTCCATTTCTTTTCAGTGCCAAGTAGCACAGCACATGGATATATTACAATTTATACTGACAAACATTCGAACTGATTCTAGATTTGGCCAGGCACGGTGGCTCAACCCTATAATCCCAGCACTTTGGCAGGTCGAAGCGGGTGCAAAACCCAGTCTCTACAAAAACTATAAAAATTTAGCCAGACATGGTGGTTCACACGTGTAGTCCCAGCTACTTAGGAGGCTAAGGTGAGACATTTGCTTGCTTAAGCCTGGGAGGCAGAGGTTGCGGTGAGCCGAGATGGAGCCTCTGCACTCCAGCCTGGGTGACAGAGTGAGACCCTGCCTAAAAAAAAAAAAAAAAAAAAATTGATTCTAGTTTAAGCAGTAATAAACACTCTCATGCAAGTCTTTGGGGATATATGTTTTTATTTCTCTCAGATAAATACTTGAAAATGGAATTGCTGGATCATATAGTAATTCTATGTTTTAATTTTACAAGAAACTGGCAAACAATTTTCCAAAGTGACTGCACCACTGAACATTCCCAGCAGCAGTGTAGGAGAGTTTCAGTTGCTCCATATAGCCATCAACTTGGCCTAAACACATTTTGAATAAATAAACAAGAGAATGGCAGTCCTCTCTCCTGGGATCAGCTGTCTTCCCTTGCCGGAGTGACCCAGAAGTTCCTCTGAATTCATAGTTCACAGTGAGAGGAAACAACAAGGTCAAGGATAGCAAGGAATGAACTGGAAATACTGATAAGCTCGAATTTCACTTAACCTCTGGGGTGCCTTTTTTTCACTGGCCTAAATCCAACAGGAGAAATCAAAAAAGTTTAGGAGCATTTTATTCCTGACCAAAAAAGTCAGGCAAGAGATTACAGTGGCAGCAGAAAGGATTTAGATTAGGTTAGAGGAGGAGCTGCTTCTTGGTTTTCCAGGAGTCACCTGTATGAGAGGATTAGATGGAATTCCCCCTAACCCCCTTGCACCAGAATCTTTAAAGGGCTTGTTAGAAATGTATTTTTAAGGCTGGGTGCGGTGGCTCACGCCTGTAATCTCAGCACTTTGGGAGGCCGAGGCAGGTGGATCACGAGGTCAAGAGATCAAGACCATCCTGGTCAACAAGGTGAAACCCTATCCCTACTAAAAAAATACAAAAATTAGCTGGGCATGGTGGCACGTGCCTGTAGTCCCAGCTACTCGGGAGGCTGAGGCAGGAGAATTGCCTGAACCCAGGAGGCGGAGATTGCGGTGAGCCGAGATCGCGCCATTGCACTCCAGCCTAGGGAATGAGAGCGAAACTCCGTCTCAAAAAAAAATGTATTTTTATTTATTATTATTATTTTTTTTTAAAATTTTTTTTTTTTTTTGAGACAGAGTCTCACTCTCTCACCCAGGCTGGAGTGCAGTGGCACATCTTAGCTCACTGCAACCACTGCCGCCCAGGTTCAAGCAATTCTCCTGCCTCAGCTTCCTGAGTAGCTGAGACTGTAGGCGCCCACCACCACACCTGGCTAATTTTTGGTATTTTTAGTAGAGATGGGGTTTCGACATGTTGCTCAGGCTGGTCTTGAATTCCTGACCTCAAGGGATCCTCCCACCTTGGCCTTCCAAAAGTGCTAGGATTACAGTCATGAGCCATCTCGCCCAGCCAGCTTATTAGAAATTTAAATGTTGATGGAGACCATCCTGGTCAACATGGTGAAACCCCGTCTCTACTAAAAAAAAAAAAATACAAAAAAAAAAATTAGCTGGGCATGGTGGCACGTGCCTGTAATCCCAGCTACTCAGGAGGCTGAGGCAGGAGAATTGCCTGAACCCAGGAGGCGGAGGTTGCGGTGAGCCGAGATCGCGCCATTGCACTCCAGCCTGGGTAACAAGAGCGAAACTCCGTCTCAGCCTCCTGAGT